ACCTTATTTAATAAACGAACAACAGTGGTCCGATCGGTTTGACCGTTTAAACGCAAACGGCCCAGGTGTTACTATAATTTGCACTACGATATTGAATACCCGATACGCAAAACGGAAATGACGACACGGTGTACATGCACATTTCGATCAAGATAATTGAGTCCGAGCTGTACTTTTTCCGGAAGTACGTCACGAAAATGGACGCTGATGACGATGTGTCGAGCCACAATGTGTCACGATGTGTCAAGTAGCGATATGTAGCAAGATGCTACCCTAAATGACCTGAGAAGTGAAGATAGTTAAAATTATATGTCAGTTGATGAGGAAATTTAAAGTCATTTTATTTCGTATCTAATATTTTAATTAAATAAATCGAAATAAAAGAAAGAACTCTCTCGTAACAATCGCGCGTACGGCACGGGAGATTCAATCTCTTGCTCAATAACAGAATATTCAAGGTAGAAAACAAAAGAAGTGTTATTAGATGGGATGATAAAAATGATATGATAATTCTATAAATAAAAAATTTGAGTGGCAATTGTAATTCTAAATGTGTAGAAACAAGTAATGTATAAATTTTGTATAATTTATGAAGAACTGAACGCATCAATGTTGATTCGTGTGAGAATGAAAAAGGTCAGGTAAGCTAGTCACTTTGCTGAGTTACGAAATGGTGTCGGCTAAAGCTGAGGATGGGAGAACATCTTAAGAGAAGTTTCCTCTACACCAACCATTCAGATCAACGACAATCTACGTCACTGATCAACAAGACAAAGAGACAACTAAGTGTTAAAACTACTGGAAGTTAAAGAGAGACAGATATTACTTTCAAAATTAATTGAAAGTTGTACGAACATTCCATCTGCAGACATCAGAAGTGGATTTGTATACGGATGAAGTTCTTAAAATTCAATTTTCTGACGGGAATTAGTAATACGTGACCGGAAGTAGTAGATGATACTATTCCAACAAGATACTGCTATATGTGTTTTGCACATATACATTTACGTGTACGAGGCTAGTGTACACACCATCGGGAATAGGTTTAATGATGCGGAAGAGGATCCGAAAACCTATTTCTCCGACCAGAGTGAACACAAGCGACTATTGTGTCGTGTGTAAATAATGGAACATTGAGAACAAACATATGTGACACTTGTAATTATCGTTTCAATTGTTCAGGCATTTCTCCGATGTTATTATTTTATGTATACAAAAATGCATGTCTTAGATTGGTTCTGTCAGACGTGACGTATCTTATATGACATGTTGATTATCAGTTATTTGGTGATAATTAGAAGTTGGTTTCTTTCTTAGGATAATGTATGATTTGTATATATGATATCTAAGAAATTCTTATACTGTTATGTTAATAATAGTTGTTTGATTATTGTGTGTATTTGGATCTATGTTTGAATGCTCAAGACTAATTAGATGAGACATAGTACATTATAGGGTAAAATTACCTTGGGAAACAGTCTAAATGTTTACTGTAAGTTTGTTTAAGAACCTTGTTGCTCTCTATATGATGATGTGTATATATGACCGTGAGAAAAGTAGGTAATAGAAACTTAGGTGACGGGAATTAATTTAAACAAAAATAGTTGATAGAATGATTATTGTAACTTAAAAGAACTTTGATTACCCAATCAAATTTCTTATTGAAAAGGGGACGAATGTGACACTATATATGGGTTTACCCAATAGTTAACTTAATTAATTAATGTGATTAATTTATGTTAGATTCATCCTATCTTTGGATTGTAAGTCGTGTGCTAGTCGGGGTCAGTAATGGGTCAAGTACCAGTAGCCTAAAGGGTACATGTAATACTTAGAGTAATTATAGTCACATAGGTATGTACCAATTGTTTATGATGACAGGTGTATAGGTATAAGGACAGATGATGGATGAAGGCAAGAATGTAACATATGTACTGTAAAACGTATTTAACAGTGTGCATCCCATATTCAGGGA